GTCACTGATTTGATCCTAAGAAATTGAGTTTATGCGCGTGAGTTACAAAAAAAAGGCTCAAAAACTGATTTACCGCGCAGCTTGTTATTATACTGAAAGAAACTTTTTTGATCGAATCGATTCTAGGTTATGTTTCACCTACTACATGACGTCTTCGAATGACTTGTTATTTCGCGGCTGTTAGAAATAACACACGTCCAAAACGCAAGTGACTTACTTTACAAAACGACGTATTTATTTTGCTGTTAAACAAACACGATTTACTGACCGATGTAAACAAGTATTCATGCGGCATATCTCTGCGTTGTTACTTTCAAACTGCGCAACAATTAGAAACAACACCAGACTCTTATCGAATATCGCGTTACCTTCAAGGTGCAATGTACAAGTGACAAGCAAAGAAGCGTGGCATGTGAGTGTGGTTCAGCTGTGCACAGACAGAATAACAATAACAGTTTTTAGAATGTGGCTCGTCTCATCAGTCCTACCTTTGCTTGTTGATGCGAAGGGATGATATGGCCAATGTGCCCGAACAGAAACGTTTAGCTGGACGTAGGTTATTTTTTTTTTTGGTAACCAGTGACTACCATATCCTGAACGCTATACTTCCCGGTCAGCTCCCCTCCTCTCCTCCCCGCCCCGCGACACATGCATTTGTGCTTCCCGACACACAACATTCACCTAACCAACCATTCGTCTTCCTGGTTCAACCCCCGCAAGATATGTAGGAAAACAGTCGCTGAGAAACTCTAACCCTAAGTGACATCTAGCGGAAACTGTTTCAACTACGGAATTTGGAGCATCTGTATCGATATTTCCATTTGAACCCCATAATCTATTCATATCTGTCTGTAAAATATTCATATCTGTCTGTATAGAAACGTAATTTTACGTGTGACCTTGATGTCAGTTTGTTCGTGGACTAACGTCATTTAATGTTTGGTCTGATGTGACACAGTCAATCAGTAATGTGTGGAGGGTGAAACATCCCATATTTTCCGTAACATTGATGAATGCAAGACTTGCTACTAACAGTTGAGTTATTATGACAATTGAGATTAATTTTCAGCATGACTGGCATTAACCATCCCAGAAGAATATTGAATAAAACATCCTATAAATCTGATGAAGGATGGATCGTCAGGAATAACTGCAGTACATTATATATAATTTTATGTTGAACTAAGTAATAGATTCCAGGACTGGTACTTTTACTTCCCTTCAAATGATCTGGTTTGCCGAGGAGTTTGCATTCATGATATTATCAGCAACATTTTTTTAATCATTGATGTGTTACATTTGTCATATTGAGGCTTACAAATGAAACTGATGATCAGACTGAAAATGTCTGCTTAATTTGTTGAAATAACAATTCAAGATGCAAGGATATCTGCTTGTTTTGATACACCACTGAACTCTACAAAGGAAGAGGATAACACATATTTCAAATGAGCAATAAGCAATTCAAGACTCAACCACCTGCAGATGCATTCATGACGACTATTTAATGGGAAATAAACTTCTTGCCAAACGGAACAGCAGTGACTAATGATAATAGAATTTATTAAGAATCTGTGCAATAGTTTTCAGTGCATTATGGTATTTGTTGTTATTCAGTGTTCTTACACAATGTCATAACTAATTCCATTAGTTTGCAAATTGAAAATTGTGATTAATTTTGTGACTACTGTAAGAAAAAGAACATTGAATGATTGTAATGCTTATAATTTTTTTCCAAATAACCTAAATGGACCTCATTTGGTAATGTACGCTGTGATAGTATTTGCTTCTGGTATTACAAGGTTTGTTTGCACTTGAGATGCTCTAAATTCATAAATTATGTTAGGTTATAACAACAATTATTTCTCATCTGTGTATAATACCGTAAGAATGGCCAACCAGATCACTTACTGAGATTTGAATTTCTCACAGTGGCAAATCTGAAGATGGCCGTCTTCTGATTTAAGTGCCGTATCAAAGAACCGTAATGACATTAAAATTTAGAGTGAGGAAACAGAAAATCTTACTTTTATTTAAAGCCCAAGAAATGTGCACAGAAATTTTGAAAACACGAAAGACACACAGCACGAAAGCAGACTTGGGCATAAACGGAGGAGAACTTTAAAACGGATCTTAGGAAAAATATGTTTGAAGATGTGATCTGGATTGAAACGAATGTGAGTCGGGGGGCCAATGGCGAGTGCTCGTTATCAGAGTAACGAATGTATAGTTTCAAAACCCTAAATAACATTGATTTTGGCACAAATATTTGAGTTACAGCTGTGAAATATTAAACAGGATTTATTCAATAGCAACTCTGCTCACGCCACAGAGTCATTGAGGCAGTTAGCGGACAGCGAGGGATTTATCTCGAATGACTGATCGTCTCTTAAGTTATTTGGCAACAACGTTTCGACTGCAGAGGTTATAAGGAGTCAAAGAAGACAGGAATATGTTCAGAAATGGTGTCTATGGATTTGGAAGGAGATTTGAATCGAGTACCTTCAAATACAAGTCTGTGTTATTGCAAGTACACCAAATGCTTAGGAATGTAATTTATTACAATAAATGTTTCTGGAAATATATAGAATCTTTAAATATGATTATTTCAGTTTATCTGCACTCTAATTCCATTCAACAAAATCCATTACGTTGAAGCTCGTGTTTCGGTGTTTACAGCTGACACACGACAACGGCATGAATCAATAAACAACAAGAAATACTAACTTTCACTTACATGAAAATAAAAACAGTACACAGATCTTAAAATCATGGACTCTCAAAACACAATTTAATTACAGGTGTATAATGAATATAAAAATTAATATGATAATGTATTTATTCTGCGGTTTAAATTATTATAAATAGTAACAGAACATTTATATTACGTGAGATTCTATGCAGTAAATACAAAATAATTATGTATAATTTCTTCAAAATAGGAAAAAATAGTATTATAGACGTAACTAATTATCATAAACTTTCGACAGTAAGTGACAGAAAACGGTCCTTCTTCGCGAAGTATTCCTTAAGGCGAATATCAGCATACCTGAAACACAAAAGACAAAAATCAACAACAAAACAAGACTCCCGAAGCCTGCCACTTCATAATTTACGGGCACAACCTCGTGTAAATAATATACAAATATTTGTCTCTCAAAGAAACCGTGTTTAGCCGACGTAACGTCAATTCACGGAGATGAATGTATCACCGTTCAGTGCGGAAGAATACTGATCAGACTCTAATTTAGCAGGTCCTGGGCTCAATCTCTGGACAGGTCCGTGTGCAGATTTTTCTCGTCACATTAAAAAAGTCTCACTTCCGCTACAGATAAGAAAACTTTAGGGAATGAGAAGTATACCCGGCCCACAATTGAATATGTCATTACCCTCCGTCAGTTGCTGGCTATCAACCCTGAAACTGGAGTCTGCAATAAGGCGAGCATGGACCCAGAGTGGTCGTGACAGGGAGCATCAGAAACCAAGCCACTCGCACACCGTGTCTAAACTGGAAACCAAATAAATTCATCTCGCTCACGAGATGGACTAGTGGCGGTTCTCGTGAACACGGTGATCAGTGTTTGGTCTCCACGAAAGCTGGGAAAATTTCTGAAGTAGCTGAAGATACTATTGAGTACTCAAGGATGACTCTGTTCTATGATTTTAGTTACAAGAAATCAAACGTGATTAAGATAAAAAATATTTATAGCCGTAAAATCAAAATATTTATTATTATTTAGTGTTCTGT